CAATGAAGCATATTTTCCCTTCAAAAACAATGTTGCAAGAATGAACTTTGGCTTTACCTGTTATTTAATCACAAATACAAACTGCCAAATATATCACAATTGATTAAACAACTTTCTGCCTTGATAAATCAGAACCCCAAAAGCTTCAAAGAGACTAGAACAGTCAACATTCTCTAAACATGTGATGCTTAAAGATTTGATCCAAAATTTAAAAACCTAGGGAAAGAAGCATGAAAAAAATTTAGAGCCGTATAAACCCCCACAGCCTGTTTTAAACAAACTATCACAACTGAAAACACTATCCACAGAGACCATTCACCATAATCAATAAGAGATATTCCATTTATATACAAGGGTAAAAACCTCATGCCACCACACAATAAATCCTTCTTAACTTCAAAAGGAACTTTTAAACGAGTCACCTTTATTTCCATAACAATCACGTAACCAATTCAAAAATTCTGTTAACAAAAACACGACTAGACCTGACACCAGCTCCACAAAATTTTAATTTCCCAGCAGTCTTTGTATATCTTTTCAAAGACGCACTATCCCTACCTAACCCAAGAAGAAATCAACCCCTGATTTCCTCAAGCCTCTCCTTAGTTATCTGCATAGTCATACTTTGAGAATTAAACAGGACACTAAAAAAGATCATAACTTGAGACGGTGCCACAAGCTTTTATCTAACAGCTTATTCAATACCACTTCTAATAAATAGTTCACGTAAAAAAATGAAAGGGAAAAATCAGCATTAATTTTACTTTCCACGCCTGCAAAATCATCTAAGTAATTTAAGGCAAGATAAACCTACATTATGCATCATTAAAAGCGAAAAAGCATTTTTTTGTAACTCTCTGACATTATAAACGCAAGAGGACCTCAACCCCATAGCTAGAAAAACAGTATCAAAAAATATTATGTGATTTTTCCATGAAAAAACCAACTAAAATTTATAACTTGAAGGGGCCCCAAAATTTACTTTAATTCTGCCTATAGGCACGCCTTAAAATTTTTTCAAAGCTTGTAACCCATAAAACATGCCTTGACCTTTTTTTTTAATTAAGGGCCACAAAGTTTCATCCAATTTTTGGAAAAAAAAAAATCTGAACTATGTCTCCCAGATAAAACGATCCTTTTGGGAAAAAAAAGTCGATTTAACACCAGTTTTCCATTTTTTTGGAAAACTTAAAAAATTCCAAAAAAAAACTCTACGTTTGTCAGGATTTGACTTTTAGGAACAGTATTAAGAGGTGATATCACCAATACCATCATTCAAAAGGACAAGTTAACAAAAGGACCTATAATAGCTCCATGTGATGCTTCTTTTTTTGCAAATATTTTTAATCATGTGACTTGGAAATAATTTAGCCCCGAATGATTCTTAACTTTTGAGGTTTTTTGAAAACAAAAATACTTGTGTCATGCAAATCTACATCTATTGGAAAACCAAATTTCAATAACTCACAAACCTGTAAGTCATTATAACCATGAATGCATTCTTGTCATAAATGCGGTATCAATCTTATTGATTAACCGGAATACGACAACCCTCAAAAATTTAAATTTACCGGAGGCTTTAACCTGTCTAGCAATGTCCAGCTTGTTTAAAGAAGATAAATTTAACTGATCTTTAACAGAAAAACAAACTTTACACTTTCTGTTATTACTACAAAAACAATCAAAATCATTTGTGTCTTGAAGTTTTAGAGAATGTTCCATATTCCTTTTTACAAAAATCAGGTAAAAATAAATCAACTAATTTATTCTCAGAAAAAACACAATTGGACAGTCACTGATTAGCGTGTGGACATGCACTGGAACATTCAGGATGAGGTTTAACTCTTTCTTTTGTCTACATCCCAACAAGTCGCACAGATATTGCTTAGCAAAGTGAGTTTTACCTCCCTTTGATGTGACAATATGAGCAGATTTAAATGAACATTTGTTCCTCTGATATTTTTGAGCAAAACCACACTTTGCTACTCTCATCTGTACTAGAGCTAACTTTAACCTGAGGAATATTGTACCTGGGGTTTGGGCTTCAACTGTACTGACTCAGAGATCTGAATTCTAAAATTTTTGACAGTGTTCCTGGCCCAAAACAGCTTGATTCCACATACTGAAAATCATCGCCCAAGCACTATGACCAAGCTCTATTTCTTCTCTTAAAACTGCAGCATATATTGAAAAATTTATAAACATTTGGAATCATAAGAGCTGTTGAGATACAATTAACTTCCTCTCAAAAAATTCAAACGACCCTTGTTTTTTCTTTTCCTACAAAAATTCCTGAAAAGAGCAAAATTAATTTCCAATTCTCCAGCAATAAATAAGTTTTTGAAATCAATATTATTCAAAAATACATTTTGGTTAACAAAATCAAAGCGTAAATTAGAATGAGGATATTGCTGTTTAAATTTAACAAGAATCTGACGATCTTGAAGCAATTCCTGATTTAAACCCCTTATGTGTCTTATTTCTACACTTTTTAGATTTTTACTTTGTTCCAAAGAGATATCTAAATCACTATCAACATCTGACGTAGAAGCAACACGATGAATCACAACTAGAATCAGAGTCTGAAGACGCTGAACTAATCAAGCCTAAATTTGGCAAGTTTCCTTCTTAGCCGCTATTCTTAAATTGGACATTTTGCGTAAAGCATTTATATCAAGTGACGTACCTTCTGCACCGGCATGTGAAGATTTGGATGATTTCTGCCCTCGAGAACTGGAAGTAGTGGGACGAATATGTCTGCCCTTCTTTCTAGACGATAGATCGGAAGCTTGAGGATGAAGGGACTTCTCTAACTCCACTAACAAACGCTTCTTTCTCCTCAACTTTCTTTTACGAAGAATTTCTAATTCTCTCCGCTCCTGTAAACGAGCCTGATGCTCATCCAAAACTCACTCAAACGCCGCAACAACCTCTCTTTTTCCTCTTTTTCGGCCAAATCTGAAAACTTGGACGTAATTCCGGAAGTACCTCAGGCGGTGTCACAGTAGAATCTTCTTCATTCAAATCAAACAACTGGCTGGGAGAAGCCAGAACAGGTTCAATTAATTGCCTCTTGGGAGTAAATCCCTTTCCCTCATTCATAGCTTTATAGTCAGGAACTTCTTTGTTTCTAGCTGATCTCCTGTCGGTCATATTGAACAAATTTCAAAAACAATAAAAAATACCTGTCCTTCAAAAGATAAATACACACAAACAGGCTAGTCCCTGAACAACTGACGATCAAATAGTTCGCTACTCTACATCGTATATGATGAATGAAAAACTGAAGGAAAACTTATCAATGTGAAATTCGGGCACAGTAAAACCCTTTCCAAAAACAAATTTGAAGAAAACAACCGACTGGAAACGTGTCTTGACAAAAACTGTAACTAAAAGGCGCCAAAACCTAACTTAAATACAGTTTGGCGTAATGATACAAAAGTGACCCTTGACCTAACTGGTGAAGTAACCAATCAAAAAGGTTGTTTATTGATATACAACAAATGAAATGGAGTAATAGTACAAAAATGACCTCTGACCTATATAAAGAACAACCAATGAGAAAGGCTGTTTTATCCATAATTAAAAGATTTTATTGTGAACAAAATGCTTCAGATGATAAAATATATAATACAGTCATAAAAAAGAATTAACACGAAATTAATCAAACGAAAATTGAACTTGCCATAAACAGGTGAGAATATTCCATCTTGATGCAATATCTTTGAAAAATATTCTCTAAAATCATCAAAATTATTTTATATTTTACTCTGATATTTGTTAAGAAAAGAGGATTTGTTTAGATTGTTACGAAATGACAATGCATGTAGATCTTTATAATTATATAATTTCAAAAGTCATTGTCTTAGATATAAACACTTCTGTCATTTAAATAGCATTGTAAACGAGTTTAATATAGTTAAACTATAATAGCTTTTTATACTATAAGTTAACAGGTAAAAAGGAAAAGATAATAGTCTCGTAGTGGAAGAGATTTATATTTTATGCAACACAATCATCATTATCAACTGTTGGTCAAACACCGTTTATACAGTCAATCTTTTTTAATATATGAGCAGTGTCATGACAAAACCAACATAATGGGTTTGCGACCAGCGTGGATCCAGATAATAATAATAATTCTGCCATATTATTTCATATTTAAAATGGTTTACCTCAATATGATATAATTATGTTCATGGAAATTAATGTCATTTCCTCCATAACTATTTTCTTACAATAGCGTATGAACTTACAACTTAAATAACAACGGCGAAATGACGTCATCCTAAGCACATATTTCCCTTCTAAAACGACGTCATTTTAACGCGGTTCATCCATAAAGTGCGCTAAAATGACGTTGTTGTTTGGCACGCGACTCATCTGGCACCCCCCATGCCAGATGAAATTTCCGGCATGGGTAAAACTCACGGAAACGCCAGTCTGCTATAGAGCTTAATAATATCTGTCATATGTTGCGGCAATCTCCACACAGTGATCTCCCCTTAATTCTTCGGCGTAGATCTCTGCCACCAAGGTCCCAATATATCAGAATTTCTGATATACTATATTTTTTCAAAAATTGTTTTATCTACTGCTTTTATCTATCAGATAAGTTTTCTCTCATTTATTTAACAATGTTTATGAATAAATAAATAAATAATATGAATATTTAGAAATAATTTTAAAAATTATGAGATTATTTTCTACCGAGACGATATTTTGATATTTTATATTTTTTAGCTTTTGAATTTATTTTTCGTTATTTTGTATACTTTCGATAATTTTTTAATAAACTATATGGAACGTAGGCACTAAAAGTAAAAAATAAAACAGAAAGAGAAAAATAACGTTAGATTTTCTTTGTAACGGTCGATATTTACATTTGAATTTCGACGTTACGTCATGTGACTTTCATCATCATGTAATGTGACGTCTTTGAAGGCAGTGATTACAATTCTGCCAAGGGAGGTAATCACTGTGAGGAGTTTGATGTTGCGGTTCGGACCGGAATATCCGTCCCGAGGGGACCCGCCCATTGGGCGGTAACGAGGCTTGCCGAGTTACCGCCCATGGGCGGGTTCCCGAGGGACGGATATTCCGATCCGAACCGCAAACATATGAAAGATATTTTTTCTTGCATATTCTGCCATATTATTTCATATTTAAAATGGTTTACCTCAATATGATATATGTTCATGGAAATTAAAGTCATTTCATCCATAACTATTTTCTTACATTAGCGTATGAACTTACAACTTAAATAACAACGGCGAAATGACGTCATCCTAAGACATATTTCCCTTCTAAAACGACGTCATTTTAACGCGATTCATTCATAAATGGCGCTAAAATGACGTTGTTGTTTGGCACGCGACTCATCTGGCACCCCCCATGCCAGATGAAATTTCCGGCATGGGTAAAACTCACGGAAACGCCAGTCTGCTATGCAAGAAATTTATAGTAACAAATATATTAGGGGAGATCACTGCGTAGGAGATTTGGTTTTGTGATCAAGCGTCTAGAGGTATTGAGTTAAATTTAGAATAAATCTTTAAACTCAGCACATAGACCTCATCTAAATAAAAACCAAGGTTAGTGTAATTTACGTTGATAATAATATTTAGTTGTCACCTTATTTTGTTACGGTAAATAGTGATTGTTTCTTAGGTGCGTCGGAACGTGCACCAGTATAGAATTTCCCGGAAGTGGATTTACAATCGCAACATTTCGACCCTTAAAAATAGATCTACGACCAATGCTGTTTTAACAATATTTTTGACAAAAAAATCTAGATAGCAAAACATGCATATAAATTGTAAATTCTTTTATCTCTACAAATTCACATATAAATTGGTACTTTAATCAATAAAACTTTTCAATATCCTTGGAGTAGAAGCAGTGTTGCATCTAGAATTTCAAAATTATGGGGGATGTCCCCCACTCAACTGAAAAATGTGGGGGATTTGGAAAAAAAAATGGGGGAGACATACATTTACCTTACAATATGACGTGCCGAAAATAATTTATTTATTTTACATTGAGGCATTTTTGACAGCTATCGTCCGCTCAACAACGGAAATAGAAAAAATAAAATATTGACGAATACTACAATACACATGCGAGATGACCCAGTGCTACACGCGATTTAGTACGTATTTTAGTCATTACCGCGAGTGAAAACATACATGGCTGAAGCGTTCAAGATATGATGAATATAAACTGAATTAAGTTGAAAGGATCTTCAGATGCGCGACTTGGCGCGCATTGACATCGATAAAATGCGTGATCTGCATTAAAGTATGCGCAAAACGCTGGGAGTTTGTGTGTGCTATTTGTACCTGACCTCTTACCTTTACACCATGTACAGCTCTTCTTTTCTTTGTCATTTCAATATGAAATATGAAACAATTTTTTTTTGAATAACTGACAAAACAAACTCAGATTTAGTCCTAATTATAAGACCTATAACGTAACCTATTTCATGTTTATCCTTCATTAGTCTGATATTTTACATTTTTCATTTTCATGTTGAAAAAAGCCTTGATAAAATGTCACACTAATGATAAACAATATTATGAAATGTTTAATAACTTGTTTCATGGCTAATTATTAGGACTAACTCAGATTTAGAACGTTACAGAAGTTTAAGATAATTAAGCAACCAAGTAATTAGTGTTTCAAATCAATGACCATTGCCTATCATATATAAATGTCAACAAAATATCAACATTAAAGATAAATTCTTGCCTGCAGCCTATAAGAAATCTTAAGGTAGAAGTAACACTTTTGATTCAATCGCCATTTAACTTTGTCACTCTTAGCTAAAGAGACTTCAGCAAACAGGTTTTATACTGTCACACAACATCAAAATAAAAGCAACATTTAAAGTTATGGAAGCCAGAACTATGTCACTCTTACCTAAGTCACAGTTGTCTTTTATTGTTACAATGTACATGTAGGTGCAAAAGATAAAATCACAGATGATAAAAATTATGTTTTAAACATTATTATATGGCAAAATTTGTTTGGAACTGAGAGTTTTACTACCAAACTTAAATAAAAGATAGCAAAGTTTGTTTTGATAAGCATTTTGATATATTTGATAGAAACTAAATACAATGTTGATTCAAAGGCTATATAAAACATATTTTCTTATTCACACGAAAATTAAAACTATTCTCACATTGAGAATCAGATATATACAGCTAAATATGATGATTAAACAAAAGTATTTTTGCATACAATCAGCACTTCGATTAGCACTTAAAAAGAATACTTTAAAGTTTCAATACACATTTAACTTATTCTTTGAGCCTGTGGACAGTCCTTATAGCCCTTATAATCATTAAATGTATAATATAATTTTCTATCTTGTTTACCCCTTGTTTTTTAATCAGGTCAAACATTTCATCAAGATGGAGGCGGGTAGTCACACCCAATCAAATCAGAGCTTACCAGCTGCTTGGCAACATGACAAGGCATTGGGTGATTGTATGATAAAACTGTATGAAAACAATCTGTGGACAGATGTCAAGTTCCGGTGCAAAGGTCATGACGAAAATGAAGGTATTCATGCGCATAAAATAGTTCTTGCAGCAAGAAGTCCAGTGTTTCAAGCGATGTTCTATGGGCCATGTGCAGAAGGAACCGAAGAAATTGTACTGGAAAGTACTGAAGCAGAAACTTTTGATTTACTCTTAAGGTAATTGATGCATACGATTCAGAGTCAACTCATCTGGTATTCAACTCGTCCTTGTTATGATGAGCATACAAAAACAAAATGGGATATTTAGATGATAACTACATTATTATAGAGACTTAGAACTAATTCAAATTTGATGTCATTTTGTGACATTTCAGGCACATTCATGAGCTAAAACAACAGTTTTTTATCATAACATACTAAAACAAGAAAACAGGTTGACGGCTAAACCAATCAAAGTGCTGAATGCACTGAATGCGACGGACATGCAAGGCTTTTTCCGGAAAAAAAAACACAAAAGATATAACAGAGACAATTTGTTCCATACAAGTTTGAGATTTGTAGAGCAATCTATTTAAGGTGTCCCAATCTGAAATAATTCAGATTTTTTACTTTCAAGCAGAACATGTCCAAATTTTTAAATACAGAATGAAATTTATGCCTCAAAACTCGGGTCAAACTTGTACTTATCGATTTATTTGTAAATAGAAAAAACTGTCAACGAAATATTTCTAAAATAAAACCATGCAAATAAACTTCAAGCATAATACATAATACATACGAGAATGTTAATTAGAATTGCTTCGTGTTATATCATAGTTGGCATATAGACAATAAAATATATAAGTCATTAGTAATTTAATTTTTATTTCTCTTGGATATGTCTCATTAAAATATTGGTTAAAACGGTTAACCATCAGCAATTAATGGTGTATCTTTTAGATTTTTTTTTCATTTACAAGGTAAAGATGTAGAGGCCAGAGCACATCGTTTTAATTGTTATTTAAATGTCACTTAAGCACTACAGTGTTTAGTTGTTCCTTTCAATGTCACACTAAATTCCATTTTCAAATTGTTTGCTTCTTACAATTGTTTAAAACTTCTTAAAGTATTGCATGTAAACAAAGTAAGTATCCGCTGATTTATTACATGTATAATGTGTACTACCTAATCGCTTGTCCGAAAGTCAGCACAGGTGATGTAGTGTGATTGGGTAAAATCTATTTTAAGAATAGCGATATCTATTATAATCGATCACAAATCACATTAGCTGATAGCAGGTTTACTCATATCGTGACCTAGAAAATTATGTAATTAATGCGCGAGATATTCTAGAATTGCTGAGCCACGAAAAACTTTTGATCTGTTAATAAAAATGTTTTGTTTAATGGAGAAATATTTATTTCCTACTTATAATTTCTAGGAATTATCAGTGTAAGAAATTAGGATATGAATCTACTAGGCCGGTCGGACTACCAGATTGGAATATTCACTAGCCCAAAAGACATTTCACTAGCATGATTTATTTGTTCAAAACAGTTGTTTATATTGCCTCTGAAAATACAGTAGCCTGGTCCGGCTTGTTACTGTGAAAAGTTGAAAGCCAAAGGAGAAATTTAGTAGTCTGGGGCTATAGGACTACTGCTAATTTCGAACACTGGAATTATTGAGCTTACTCCTATCTTATAGCATAATTTGCTGTCCTACTTTTTCGACAGTGGTAATTAACTGGTAAATCGTTTCAGCACTTATTGCATATTTCTTGCATATTGCACAATAATACTACGGGGCTACAGCGTTTTTATCAATCAAATACGTTCATATTTTAACATGGATAACTTAATTTGAAATTGAAAAGGCTAAATATGGAAGTTTTTAAGATAATCCTCCTGTGGGCGTGTCCGTCGCAAAAATGGATTTACTAAGCTATTACAAACACTACTTTCATTTAAACATTTCATTTTATTTAAAAAAATATTGTAGTACCACAGTTTAGATGTACTGTCAAGTATGTTAGTGATAAAATAAGATACTTAATTAAATGTTTAAATTTAATGATTTATCTAGTTTATAGGGGGAGTGAAGGGTAGTACTGTCCATGAACAGACTCAATCAAACTGTGCCTGCAACATTTTCAATTTGCCGATTTGGACTTTCTTTACGGATTCTTATTTCCTCTATTTTAACTTAAACCTGCAAACTGAAGTTTTCTTAAAAAATTGCTTATTATAACTTACAATATGATCATAATTTAGCACTAGAGTGGAAGTGATAAATATAGTGGCCTCTATGGGCAAAGAATTAAGGTCGTTCACTTCATATAACATGCCCCTCACCACTGTTGGTTCGAATCTCGATGGGAATTTTCGCTTCTGTCATATGCTAGCTTATGTAAGGTTGTTGGTTCTACTTTGGGGGGCGTCCGTGGCCGAGTGGTTAAGGTCGTTGACTTCAAACCACTTCCCCCTCACCGCTGTGGGTTCGAATCCCGACAAGGACTTTGGATTCTTTCATGTGAGGAAGCTATCCAGCTAGCTTACGGAACGTCGGTGGTTCTACTCAGGTGCCCGTTCATGCCTGAAATAATGCACAGAAGGGCACCTGAGGTCTTCCTCCACCAGTAAAGCTGGAACGTCGCGATATGACCTATACTGTGTCGATGTGACGTAAAACCCAAAATAAACAAATTCTACTTTGGTGCCCGCTTGTGCTTAAAATAATGTCTTTAAAAACCATATCCTTTTGTTCAAGCACCAATTATTACTACAAATATTTCAACATCTTTTGTTGGCACATAATTAAACACAATTTAGTAAGTGAATGTAAAAAATGGTTCCAATTGTACCAAACTGATGTTGGAAAAGAACATACATTTTATATTTGATTAAATCAAGTATGAACTTTATCTGCACAAGAATTTGATAGCCAAGGTCAATTTATAAAGTTTAAAGGCACACTGCCCCGGAAACAAAACAAAGTTTTCTTTCTTAAAAAGTTAGAAAGTACAAATGATTAAGTAATGGTTTTAGAACATGTTACATGCTTTTCACTTGAAGAAAGATGTGCTGAATATAAAACTATCTGTCAATGTAAAGAAAGTACATACAAAATAGTCAGCCAAAAAAACTTTACTAATTGCTCAAAAGCAACATGAGCAAAACATGGTCCTGGTTATCAGATCAGACAATAAGTATTTTTGGAAACTATAACAGAACTGAACATCAAAAATAGATAGCTTTTGAGAAATAGAATTTAAGGCTTTTCTGAGGCTTAATGGGCCTTTTAAGTAAATTCTGTACCCAACATAAAGGTTTTTTCTTTCTTTCAAAACCCTTTATTTCAAGGTTCTTTCTCCATGTGTTTGCCTTTTGGAAGTTAGCAAAAGTAGAGCATATACCCTTTTTTATACCCCCACCACAAAATGTGGGGGGGAGCTATAATGGATTCACTGGGTCGCGTCGGTCGGTTGGTCCGTCCGTCCGTCTCAATCTTCGTGTCCGCTCTATAAATCCTATAACAATTGAAGGATTTTCTTCAAAATTGCTCAAATGTTCACCTCAACAAGGGGATGTGCAGAACCCATGTTGCCCATGTGTCAGCTCAAGGTCAAGGTCACAATTGAAGGTCAAATATCAAACAATCAAATATTAGACAGTATGTCATGTCCGCTCTGTAAGTCCTACACTAATTGAAAGATTTTCTTCAAACTTGGCTGAAATGTTCACCTCAAGGGGATGTGCAGAACCCATGGTGCGCTTTTGCCGGCTAAAGGTCAAGGTCACACTTGAAGGTCAAAAATTGACTTAGAAAATATTCTTAAATTTTAACATGTATTTTAATATTTCTGAAACTAGCACAGGTATATGCTTGAAACTTAAAAAATATATGTGATGTCACAAATAAGATATGCAGGTTAAGTTTCATATCTCTGTATTGCATTTTGACAAAGTTATGCCCCTTTTTAAGTTTTTAAATTTACATACAATCAATACTAGACAATATGTTGTGTCCGCTCTATAAATTCTATACTAATGGAGGGATTTTCTTCAAACTTTACTCAAATGTTCACCCCAACTGGGCAATGTGCAGAATCCAAAAGAGTCGTCTTTTGTCAAGGACATTGGTGGGGGTATGAATCGCATTCAGCGATAGTTCTAGTTTTAGAAAGATGTCAATTTATTAGTTTTCATAGCTAGCAACAGTCAGCTCAAAATTTGTATCAATCTCTTTCAGGTACATCTATATGGACAAAGTAACCTTAACCGAAGGAACTGCTGCATCAGTATTAGAGACAGCTCACTTCTATCAGGTATCAAATCTAGTCCAGTTTTGTGCTGCCTTTTTGGCTACATGTCTCACAACTGAGAACGTTTTAGAAATATTATCGCTGGCTCAGTGTTACGAAGTTAAATCTCTTTGTAAAGCATGCTGCATTTTCATTGACCAGAATGCTGATGATGTTATTAAATCTGAAGCCTTTCTAAAACTGACAGAAGAAAACCTCACATATATCTTGAGGGGAGACACATTCTATGCAGACGAAGTACTTTTATTCAAAAAGGCTGAAGAATGGGCCCAAAGGAAATTAGAAGAAGGCAATGTTACAAAAAATGGACAAAATATCAGACACATTTTAGGGCTGTCATTTTTTTACCTTAGACTACCTACCATGACATCCGAGAGGCTATTGAATTGCACTCGTAGAAAAGGGTATATTTCAATAGAAGAATATGAAGATATAGTTGATTTCATCAACAAAGTGCCTGGCACAGCTGTTACGAGCAATTCATGTATTCCAAGACTACCAATTGAAGAACAATGGCACTTTGCTTGCGGACAAGTAACAGACATTTTAAGTAATAAAATCAAAGCAAAATTTCAGGCACATGTAAGCAGAAATATAAGGCTTAAAGCTATTGAGCTCACAGAAATATATACACATCTGAAATATGATGGGCCATTGTATAGCGAAAAAGATGGTGAGATAGTTACTGTTAGAGATAAAAATCTTACTCTTTCACATGAAGGTAAAGCCATTAAAGTACGCAATTGCTTTAATGAGATTGTCGAACTCAAAACAGTTTTTGGTCAAGATTTGCCACATGATGTAGACGTATTGATATCGGGAAGTTTGAAAATAACATGCCATGGAGAGGAAATAGATGATGAGAAATGTAAAGTATTTGAGCAATATTTTAAGTTTCATTCAACAGATGAAGAACAACGTGTTGTCACACTTGAAGAGCCATTCATTCTCGAAGAATCATTGTCACCGTATACGTTTACAGTAAATCTATATAGGAACGCAAACCTAATTACAATGAAGACAGTGCGTAAATCGGAAAACATTTTGACAAGCAAACATGGTGCATTAAAGGTAAAGAACATAAGTGGAAATTTTGCCGGAATACGAGGTTTCTGTTTTGAACATATATCAAATCGTGATCAGTGTTAAGGGCACAAACAAACTCATGAAAAAAGATATGGTAGAATCAAGGGACTGAAACCTTTGCATTTGAAAGAAATGAGGCAAAATGTGAAAACAAAAAGTAAATTTAAGATTTTGTTATACAGTAACAGGGCTAAAAATAAGCGTTCACCCATGGTGACTGAATTTGTGAATGCACCACCAAAAATTTCAAAAAAGTCATCCAGTGGGCGACTTAATGTAGATTTAGACTGTAAAAAAAACTACTGGTGGGATTTCAACCAAACTTTTCAGGAGTGATCAGTACCATCCCTAGTTGTGCACATCAGCGGCATGTTCCGCTCCGCTGCACAAAATGAAAATGGCCACCAGAGCTTAAAATAGGAAAATCTTGTCCACCCTTCACAAGTCAAACTACTGGTGGGATTCGAACTAAACATTACAAGAGAGATTAGTACCATCCCTAGTTGTGCACATCACGGGCACGTTCCGCTCCGCTGCACAAATTGGCCGCCAGAGCTTAAAATAGGAAAATCTTGTCCACCCTTCACAGGTCAAACTACTGGTGGGATTCGAATTAAAACTTTACAGGAGTGATCAGTACCAACCCTAGTTGTACACATCACCGGCACATTGGCTCCACTGCAGAGCTAAAAATAGAAAAATCTTGTCCACTCTTCACAGGTCAAATTACTAGTGGGATTTCAACCAAACTTAACAGGAGTGATCAGTATCATCCTTAGTTGTGCACATCAGGGGCATGTTCCCCATATGCCGTCCCTATTATTTTCGGCGTATTTGCCATATGGACCGCTTTTGCCGTTTATATAATAATAATGAAAAGTATAATAATAATAATTATAACAAGAAACATGGCAATGCCATGAAACCAGGTTTTCAATTATCACCATTGTAGATAAATATGTTGTATTTGAAATACAAATACAAGCAACAAACAATGTAACTATGTGCAATGTAAAACATGAATAATGTAGGAGGAATTGCCACAGAGGAAGTGTTCACTATAATTATATTCTGTATAAGGAAAAAAATCAAAGGGCCATAATTAAATAAAAAATTATTCAATCACAAAACCCCGACAATATGCACCAGGGCACGGGATGACAAAGCTACAGTGAAAGTTTGAACAAAATCCGTTGAGAAATGTAGGAGAAGTTGCGCATGGTAAAAATTGTTCACTATATAATCTGTATGAGGAAAAAAAACAAAGGGCCATAATTAGGTCAAATATTATTCAATCACAAAACCCCGGTAATGTGCGCCAGGGCATTTGATAACAAAGCCTCTGTGAAAGTTTGGTCAAAATCTGTTGAGAAATGTAGGAGAAGTTGCGCATGGTAAAAATTGTTCACTATATAATCTGTATGAGGAAAAAAAACAAAGGGCCATAATTAGCTCAAATATTATCCAATCACAAAACCCCGGTGATGTGCGCCAGGGCATTTGATAACAAAGCTTCTGTGAAAGTTTGGTCAAAATCTGTTGAGAAATGTAGGAGAAGTTGCGCATGGTAAAAATTGTTCACTATATAATCTGTATAAGGAAAAAAAACAAAGGGCCATAATTAGGTCAAATATTATACAATCACAAAACCCTGACAATATGCCCTAAGGCACTTGATGACAAAGCCTCTGTGAAAGTTTTGATCAAATTCCGTTGAGAAATGTAGGAGGAGTTGCGCACAGAAAATTGTTCACTATATATCCTATTATTGGGAAAAAAACAAAGGCTATAATTAGGTCAAATATTATCCAATCACAAAACCCCGACAATATGCGCCAGGGCACTTGATTACAAAGCCTCTGTGAAAGTTTGGTCAAATCCATTGAGAAATGTAGGAACAGTTGGGCACAGAAAGAAATTATTCACTATATATTCTATATAAGGAAAAAAAAACAAAGGGCCATAATTAGGTCAAATATTATCCAATCACAAAAAACCCCGACAATATGCGCCAGGTCACTTGATGACAAAGCTTCTGTGAAAGTTTAGTCAAAATCCGTTGAAAAATGTAGGAGGAGTTGCGCACAGAAGAAATTGTTTACGCCCGCCCGCCCATCCGCCCGCCGACATACCTCAATCTAATAACCAGTTTTTTCCTTCGGAAAACCTGGTTAATAATAATAATAATCATAATAAATATATAGATAATTATACCATCGACAATAATTATTATTATACTAGCAGTTTGGAAACATATATAATTACATTGTATTATAATACCAACAACAAATAATAATAATAATATTAATTAATAATATAGTAATTTCGTAGAAAACCTTCTGGCAAAAAGGTGATCAATAAATAAATAAACCTCTGGCAGCGAAAGGGTTAAAATCATATTCATCTGCGTAATTTGTGATTGTCCATTTATTGACAATACTATAAGCCACCACTACTTTTAAACTTTGAATGCGTTGTAATTTGTTGGATACTTGTAACAAAATAAAAGTATTTCTTTCTTTCAAATCGCTAGTTTTAAGTTGTTTTGAGAACTACTTGTTGTAAGGTTTGTCATTATATAACCACTGTGTCAGAGATTGAATGTCAGCTTTGTATTTCCTGATATTTGATCAGAAAATACAATACCAAGATGAAATGTTTTTACCAAAATAATTTTTATAATTAAGTCTAGTTCTGTTTCAATTTAGTTTTATTTGTTTCATTTATTTGCCTGTTTTTTGTTGTTTTTTTCTTCATATAATGATGTAGAAATTTCAAGGAATTCAATTATGAATTATTAAAGGGAAGTAAATGCATAAGTATATTTTATGTAAAGTTTACAAAAGTTACTCCCCTTTATTTGTCACAATAACTATTCAAGTTTTCATTTTGTGGTTTCTATTGATAAGCATTACCTAATTTCTCAAACATAAAAGAAAATGTATTGTAGCTTAATTTGATAATGTTTTGTAAAGATAGACAAATTCATGTGTATTATATACATGTAAAGTAATTTCTTATCCCATTAAACATTCTCACAGGACACATTTCATAAACCATTATTTTTCAATTATACATGTGTTATATATGTATTATACAATGTATGTTGTATTTGTATATGAAATATGGTGATGAGCTTTTTATGAAATAAAATTTATGTTTTGTTCTGGAAATTGTAATTTCACATGTTTGTAGGAATGGCCTTTCTACAGTATTCTTTTGCAAGTATATATTTTGTCACAAAAATTATTTGAAAGATTTTATGTAAATAATACAGGTACAACAATTGAGCCGCGTCACAACAAAACCAACATAATGGGTTTGCACCAGCATGGATCCAGACCAGCCTGCGCATCCGCGCAGTCTGATCTGGAGCCATGCTGTTTGCTATCAGTCTCTCTAATTGTAATAGAGTTGGTAAGCGAACAGCATGGATCCTGATCAGATTGCGTGGATGCGCAGGCTGGTCTGGATCCATGCTGGTCGCAAACCCATTATGTTGGTTTTGTTGTGATGCAGCTCAATTATTGATTTAAAAAAGGTCTGATCCATCTGTGAAAATTTCAAAACATAAGTGTACAGTCACAATATATATGTGACTTTTGGTTATTGAAAAAGAGAGGAGAATTTGAAAATAATACATATTTTAATCTTAAGGTATTAGGTCTATAGTTGACACAGTTTCGAAAGTCATCTAAAACGTTATGTTATTTAACATTCTCATATTCTTAACACAAAAACAAAATAATAACACAAGTTCACTAGCAGGTTCGAAAAGATATTGATTAAAGTTGAAAATTGTATCAGTTATGTAGAACAACAACTACAAATATGTTTTCATCATTCTAGAATAGGTTTTACATCTTAATCCAACTTTAGAATTGGTGAGAGAAAAAAACAACATACTTTTGAAATAAAAACAAAAGAAAAGCTTATCGGTTAAGTGAAACAGAATTGACTGCATAGTTACATAAATAAAAGGCCAAGTCATTTTTTAGCTCACCTGACCACAAAGTAGTCAAGGTGAAGTATAGTGATGGGGCTATATCCGGCGTCCGGCGTCAACAAGACGGTTGTTAACAGTCTAGCAGTCACAGTTTTGATTGGATCATCATCAAACTTTCAGAATGTTTGTCTCAATGAAATACAGATAGAGTTCGAAAGTGGGTTATCTCGGGTCAAAAACTAGGTCACAGGAGCTGAAAATAGAAAAAGCTTGTTAACACTCTAGTGGCTGCAGTTTTCATCCAAATATTCTGGAAGTTTGTCAGGAAGGTTTTTTTGATGATATCTTAGTCAAGTTCGAAGATGGGTCACGTCCGGTCAAAATCTAGGTCACAGGAGCTAAAAATTTAAAAGGCTTGTTAACACTCTAGTGGCTGCAGTTTTCATCCAAATATTCTGGAAATTTGTCAGGAAGGTTGTTTTGATGATTTCTAGGTCAAGTTCGAAGATGGGTCATCTTCTAACGCTCATCTGCGCAGTCTGATCAGGATCCATGCTGTTCGCTAATCAGTTTATTCTACTTCGTACTATTAGGGTTTTTAAAGAGTGAACAGCATATGATCCTGGTGGCATTGCCAAGGACTGGTCTGGATCCCTATGCTCGGCTCGCAAAACCCATCCTATTTGGTTTTCGTGACCCGTGGCTCAATATTTTCATTGTTTCTTCATATCTACAAAATGCTAGCTTTTCTAGGGGACCGCACAATAAAAGACAGAGACAATACCATAAAAAAGACAAAATGCTCATAATCACCATTCTTCTATATTCAAAAATAATGCCATTATGATAAACAACTATGAAAAATGGTTGCATTCCATAAAATCTTCATACCTGTTTCATCCCATTTGTCTATCATACCTTCCCGGTTTTTCAATAATCACGAAAGACAGCTCATCAGTGACCACATGCTTCGGAACGTAGTATGTGAAATATCTGGTTTCTTCTAATCTTCCACAGCACTTCTTGGATTTGCACCCTGCTTAAATGTTATTATTCCCCTTGCTACCTGTCTACGAAGCATTCGTCGATGCTGAAAATTATAACATTTAAATGAATAAGTTTAAAAAGAATTCTGCGGCTTGTACATTTACATGGCATAACGACATGTTAGTTTAAAAATCTTGTTTAACAAGAATTCTATAATTGGTTCAGTTAAATGTCGTAACAGTAATTTCTGGGTTATCTATCGTAAAGGGTTATGCAAACAATCAGTTTCTCTACTTAATAGACTTGGTAAGCGAACAGCATGGATCCTGATCAGACTGCGCAGACTGGTCTGGATCCATGCTGGTCGCAAACGCACTATGTTGGTTTTATTGTGACGCGGCTCAACTGTAATTTAACACACTTACCATATTAGGAGACACATATTTTGGGTTTTGATATAAAGTTGCACCACCAAAACTGCCTTCAAATATTCTGATTGGGTTCAGAACAAATCTTGGGCCTGGAAAAAATATAAATACTATAAATATAACACAAAACAAAAATGTAAAATCTATGAGATGATTATAAATAATTGGCAAGGTATTCCAAATGTCAATTTTATTGAACATATATTCACAAGTATACATGCAACAAGTTAACACAAATGTTAACAAGGGAAGCAATTACTTATTGATTACTCTAAAAAAAAAGATTTAAGCATTTATTTCCCCTTAGATTACATTCACTACATCAGCGAAATCTCATGACTGGACATTTATTTTTGCTATGTCATATATTTAATAACTTGAAAATGTTTTTGATTGATTTATTACGTTTATTATTTTCCCGGGTAATGGGATTTCTTTAACCCCTTAGTAATTAACCCTGCGAACACTGCATACTCCCATCGTTCCATTTTGATAAGAATAAAATACTAACCATCTCTGCTAAAGAGCCATCCTCTTCAAGAATTTGATAATTTCTAAACCATATTCTGTTGTCAGAGATAGAAAATGTGAACACATGGTCAAAAAATGGCTGACTTTTAGGATGATTATTAGGTGTGCCGAAAATCTGAAATACAATAAACACTAATGAAATCGTTACGGTTACAGCATATTATGGTTCCTTTGTAACAAACAAAACATCTGCAGATTTAGATTGTCTAAAAGATGTAGAATATTTTTTAATTTGGTTTTCGTTTTAAGCCATCACCGACACTGTTAAGGTCATAATCATGGCGGTTTTTCAGCTTTACTAGTGAAGACATGAAGGGGTGCTCGAGTGGAACCACCAAACTTCTGTAAGTTAGCTGGATAGATTTCTCAATAGGAAGAATGAACAGTCAATTGTGGGATTACAACACATGACACTGAGAAGCCAGTGATACAGTTAACCACTCGGCTGCAAAGGCCTAAGATATGATATATAACAGAACTAATCCAAATTATTAATAATTAAGTAAAAGAATGCATTATGTTAATTTTGTGTTGATCTTCACACACATCTCCAACCACATCTAATGCAGTGTCTCGTGTATAAAACACACATTCATGATGTTTAACAAACCTTTCCAAAAATTAAATACTTGAAAGGAATGAAATTGTGATATAACAGTAAACCATATCTGCTGTATACAAGGACATTGTATTACACATGACATCATTTATTTTAGGTACATACTATAAAGTATAATTTATAAATAACTCACAGTAGGATTTTATAATAAACTTGTACTATTACAATGTATTTGCAAATATTTTATTTTTGTTGAATACAAAGACTTAATCATTTTATTACTGCATTGTACAGTCCTTTTTTGGAAATTACAGCATGTATGCTTACTTTATAAGCTTTCTCTCTGAAGTGTGTAATACAGCGTCCATGCTTTTTCCCAGTGTCACCACGGATCAGATTACCAGATCCATTCCCGATGGCAAAATATGCTTATTTTCCCCCAATCTTCAAAATCAATTCCCAATGGAACTAAAAATCCCGCTATCAAAACTGACAAATTTGCTGGAGTTCATTCTAGTATGGTATCAGACAGATGTTTCCACATATTTCATTGTCAAATTTTAATGTATTTTTATGCTTTGAATAATATTTGCATTGGCTGGAATAAACGATTTTCCACAATTCAAAATACTATGCCAAAAGAGCTTGGGGAGGTTTCAAAACGTACCAAATATTTTTCCCAATTAAGTAAAAGTAAGTTTACCATGCAAAATTACACCCAAAACTGGGCTAGGTACTTTTTACCCAAAATGACTAAGAAAAGGCCTGCAGTGTGTATATTTACCTGAATGAAGAGTTCTTTCAACAATGACCAATGGGGTTCCTCCTCAAATGTCTGAAATTAAAATATGTCCTGATAAGTAACAACATGGAAATTAACAAACTTAAAATTACAATAACTTCCTATAAATGAAAGTAATCATATTGCCAATAATATCTGCCTACTTTATGTAAACATCGTGACCATTTAAACAATATGTAAGACTCAAAGTATGAAATGTAGAGCAAAATTGGCTGTCTTAAGACCATTTTCAGGATTTTCATTTTTAACAGATTTGCAATCCATATCATCGGTTGAAATGCTGTTAAAAGCCAATTAAACCATTGACTGCAATAAGCCTTAAGAATTATGGACCCAAATGAATTGTTTAACATTGACTAATGTGGGATAGTATCGTGATAACTTGTATCCACTCTCGCTTTCTTTCAGCAGTTTTCAGATTCCTATATTTAGTATACACTTAACAAAACTTATAACTGTGCAGTTTTTAAATGTGAATAACTTTTTTATTACTTGACATTTTTTACCCAAATTTTGGAATTCATCGTTTGAATGGTTTATTTTTACAATGCTATATTCAGAAATAACGGTTATATTTGCTGTGTGCGTTCATCCGTGACATGACATAAACAACAAAGTGCACGTGAGGGTGACAGGTTGGCGCTAAATGAAGTTATTATTGACCATCAAGGATTCTATTAAAATAAAGACATCCAAAAAACATAAATTTATTGCAGAATTTTTGCAATTGAAAGAAAAATGGCCGTCTAGAAGTTTTACGCAAGGGAATTTGCATTTCAGGCGCCCATTTTGAAAATAAATTTGCATAATATTTTCTCAAATAAACATATTGACTAAGATTTTACTTTAAAACTAAAAACAAACTTTCTTGGTACTTTCATATTAATGAAAATACCGTGTTTGCATTGCTTTTAGCAACTGGGTACAACGCGTTACGGAGATCGACATAAACCAGTCTTTACTGAAATTCAATAAAGCAAATATTAAAATCACAGTGACATAATGCCCTGGAATTCATTGTAGTATTATACCCTATCGGTGATCCTATGTTTTATGTTTGTATTATAGTGAAATCAAGAGATTTAGACCTTTTTGCACCCAATATAAATACACATTTTACAGAAATGTGAAATTCGGTTTTCGCGCAATATTGCACACATCGCTATTTCTCAGTAAGTACGAATCGCCCTGACATAAAAATCGATACCCAGCATTGCACATATCTGTACTATACTTGGTTAAAATTTCAGAGACCTATGTTTATTAGTATCTGAGAAAATTTGATTTTTATACGTGCACACTTATAAGATTTGTTAAGTGTACTTTTAGTATACTTATACAACTAAGAGGTTGATTTCCACTGTAACATCATTATTTGATAAGTCATCTAAAATGCATGTTCAGTAGGGTCCGTAATCCTAATGGGTGCTACTGTGTGACTTCTTCAAAACAAAATTTGGCTTCACCATTTTTAGATTCCCATTTTCAGTATATTTTTTGTCATGACTCTGATCACTCCTGTAAAGTTTAATCAAAATTGCACCAGCAGCTTGACGTGTGAAAGCCAGACAAGCTCAATGCCAGCAGGCCAACAGACTGTGAAGGCAAAACTAATATGTGTCCCAAAACTTTTTTGGAGACATTATTATGATACAAATGTCACATGTGAAGTTTCATGTAATATTCTTTAGTATTTATTCAATATCATGCTGCTGCAAACACTTTAATGAAGTGTTAGTTACACAAACGTCAAAACAACAGTGAATAGTCTATTAGAACGGCCCCATTATTCTTTGAATAGACCAGCAAAAAAGGTAGTATAGAAACAAATACCTTGTCAAAAGATAACAATGGTCTTGATCCCTTTAGACAGTTACCCGTCATTTTTAATTCAGACATCGTATGAACTGTAAAAGAAATGAAACGAAAAAACATGAACATTTATTTGGCTTTGGATACAGTTTTGTAAAATAATGTCCTAATAACTTTGGGTAGCTATGATCACTCATTTACCCTTTTCGTTTTGTGTATCTATTCATTCCTAGTACTATGATATGATGTGTTAAACACTTATAATACTGGAATTTTATGGAGTCAAATATTGCCCTGTAACCCGTTTTGATGTGGTCTAATTTATAACCCATAAATATCAATTATTCTTGATTTTAACACGACCCACATTTTTCATTATTGTGCCCCCACTTTAGTGGCGGGCAATTAGATTTACCCTTGTCCGCCCGTCCGTTCTCTTTTATGTCGCATGTAACTCAATAAGTATTTGACCTGGAGTCATGAAACTTTACAGGAATATTGATCAGCATGTGTAGTTGTGCACCTAGGTATTTTCATCTGGATATTTTTTTGTATTTTAGAGTAATTACCCTTGACTAGGTAAAATTTTGCAATTTTCAACTTGTGTCGCATGTAACTCAAAAACTTTTTGACCTAGAGTCATGAAACTTTACAGGAATGTTGATCAGCATATGTTGTTGTGCACCTGGGTATTTTCGTCTGGATATTTTTAGTATTTTTAGAGTTATTGCTCTTGACTTAGTAAAATTTTGCAATTTTCAACTGGTGTCGCATGTAACTCAAAAAGGATTTGACATTGAGTCATGAAACTTTACAGGAATGTTGATCAGCATGTGTAGTTGTGCACCTGGGTATTTTCTTCTGGATTTATTTAGTATTTTTAGAGTTATTGCCCTTGACTTAGTAAATTTTTGCAATTTTCAACTTGTGTCGCATGTAACTCAAAAAGGATTTGACATTGAGTCCTGAAACTTTACAGGAATATAGATCAGCATGTGTAGTTGTGCACCTGGGTATTTTCATATGGATTTATTTAGTATTTTTAGAGTTATTGCCCTTGACTTAGAAATTTTTTGCAATTTTCAACTTGTGTCGCATGTAACTCAAAAAGGATTTGACATAGAGTCATTAAACCTAATGGGAAGGTTGCTAAGCATATTTAGTTTTACACCTGGGGTTTGGCTTGTGGATTTATCCAGTATTTGTAGAGTTATTTCCTTTGACTTAGTAAAAACCGTTTCATTATGTTGTTATTTGTTCCTTGAGTGCTTGAGTTAGAATCAACCATAATGATCAACATCACTAAATTACAGGAATAATGATTCACATCACTGTGAAGCTATGCACCTGGGACTTTGCGGATTTTTTTTCAGTTTAGTTAAAGTTATTGCCCTTGACTTACATTAGTATAAATTTGCAATTTTCAGCTTGTTCATGCATAGCTCAAAAAGTATTTCACTTGTAGGCCTGAAAGTTAACAAGAATTTTTGGTCAGCATGTGTACTTATGGCCCTTGTGGTTTGCATGTGGATTTATTTAGTATTTGTTAAGTTCTTGCCCTTTACTTAGTAAAAGATTTTTAGTTTTCAAAAGATATTTGACCTAGTCATAAGATTGACAGAACAGTGGCGCGGTGGGGGCACCCGTGTCCTATGGACACATTTTTAGTTGAATATAGAAGGACCGAAAGTGTGTGTTACTATGCAATAGAGTCACAGTTGTCGTTCTATATTTAGATATGTGATGCAATCATTATACATGTGACGTAACCACTAAAAAAATCCCGACGCGCTTTAAATAAGTACGGAAACAAATCAGTTGCAATTTTGCTTAATATCAGGTACGGCAGCATCTATTTGTTGATGTCGTGATAAAATCCAAATAATATATCCAAATCAGTGATTTTATCGCTTGATAACATCACTTTTTGTCGTTCTGATGCGCATCATTATATCACTCGGGCTACGCCCTCGTGATATATTTTGTCGCATCCGAACTTTTTGAATCACTGTTTTGGATATATTATTTCTTAATTACAATGATTCAGTCAGACAACCATCAATAATTTACATATATAATGTTTTTCTATATCAATTTGGCTTATGGATGATGTTTTCAGCAAAAATTTAGTTTACTATAATTAGTACAAAATGTTAAAAAAAAGTTTGTTTTCAATCACATATACATGTATATAATAGATTTTATTTGAAAATTAATAATTATGTAAATCTAATTTTATATTTTAAGGGTAAAACTTGAATATTTATAACTGGAAAAATTCTGTTATACTTCATCCAGTTCCCATGTAAAATTCATAATGAAACACCTGAATCCTACATAACATATGTGTATAAAACAATCATCATTAAAATGCATGCCCCATGAGATAATAACTGACAATTTAACCTATGCATATTATGTCTATCTCGTCTTCAAGATCCTCAAATTCTACACTTCGATTCAAAGTAACATAGGGGGTGTTTGGTGTTTACCCTCATGATGACCGAAGCAAGCCCCAGTGAAGTCGCCAGGGCACTGTTCCTGGGCAAGTTGTCAAACAGTTTACCAGTACTAGATGCCTTCACTTTTACAAGGAACTGCTCATTATTTGTGTACATGCCAGAGAAGTTGTACGTTGAATTTGTGAATGACAGTAGAAAGGATTTCATGATCAATCATAATGAAAGTGACCTGCAATGTCCTGGAATCAACCTGGGTCGCTCGATTCAATGTTCTACCATTTGAGCAGTGCTGAAACTTGCATATAACAATTTCTAGCACTTTATATTAATTATCTATTACTTACCATTTTCTACAAGAAACTTTACTGATGGTCCTCTTGGACAATTTGAGGCCCTGAAAAATTGAATAATTATTCTAAAGAAAATGTTCTTCACTGTGTCCAGGAGAAAAAAAATGTAATTAAAAACACTTCAACCATACACATTTTATAGAGAGTGGTATAAATCTGCTATAATTTTATCATTTTAACAATTCAAAAAGTAACAAAAAACCTAAAAAATTGCCACTACAAATAAGACAAAAACCAATACATTTGTAAATACATTAACACTTCACCTTCTGAATTCCTTATAAGGAATTGTCTAGCTTCCATTTTTTAGAACATTCTGTTGTCTAGCTTCCATTTTTTAGAACATTCTGTTAGGAATTTTCAAAATATCAAGATGAAAATTTACAGTTACACGTAGTCAGCCGAACAGTATAGAGCCTGTTAAGAATATAGGGAGTGGCGTTCATGGCTGAGTGGTTACGGTTGTTAACTTCAAACCAATTACAGAATGTTAGTGGTTATACTTGGGTGCCCTTTTGTGCCTGAAATAATGCATGCAAGGGGCTGTGAGGTATTCCTCCAACAGCAAAGCTGGAAAGTCGCCATATGACCACAAATCACAAGAGTACCTTATGCAGTGTTAGCGCTCATCTGTTTAAAATTATAAATTCTAACACGACCCGCATTTTTCCCTATTGAACATAGAAGAACCGAAAGTGTGTGTTATTATGCTATAAAATCACTGTTTGACGTTCTATATTTAGACATGTGACGTAATCATTATACACGTGACGTAACCACTAAAAATGTGACGCGCTGACAATAAGTACGGAAACAAATCAGGCGCAATTAAGCTAATTATAATGTACGGCAGCATTTATTTGTTGATGTCGTGTTAGAATCGAAATAATACATCCAAATCGGTGATTTTATTGCTTGATAACATCACTGTTTGTCGTTCGGATGCGCATCATTATATCACTCGGGCTACGCCCTCGTGATATATTTTGTCGCATCCGAACTTCAAACAGTGATGTTATTGAGCAATAAAATCACAGTTTGGGATATATTATTTCTTAATCAAAAAGAGGCATAACTCAAACAATTTTTTTTTTCAGAATTATGCCCCTTGTCTAACAACTGAACCTTGTCATGGTAACTAACTATTCCAATGACCACCATGATGACAAAGATGTCGCAGCAAATTTTAATAGCTCGACTTTTAATTCGAAACAGACAAGCTAAATAATAAAAAAACAAAAAGGAAGTGCAGGCAAGCCTAGCCATGGTTAAGGCTAATCACTTTCAGTTTCAGCAAGGTAATTCTGTGAGTGTTTGTGAATATACAATAAATACAAAAGATAATGACAGGTTGATTTTATCATCAGAAGTTACATTTTTTAAACTTACCACATATATAAATCTAATTTCTTCTTGGCTTCAAAGAATATACATTTATTACAGTTCTTCATCTCACAAACCTGTAAATATAAAAGTTACTATGGCACTTTCACCCTATCACCAGAGGCCAAAATAAATCCCCATTCTGAATCCAAAATAGCCTCTTTTTTATAACATCTAAATAAAACAGCAGCAAAAATAAATAAACAAATTCTTTCTAATTCTGAGAAAAATTGAACTGTTTTTTTTACTTGCTTCTTTTAACGATAGGTTATATGAATAATGATCATACACATGTCATATATAAGTTAGTTTATTAGGTCTTTAAAATTTCTCAAAATTCAAAAAAATAACAAATAATTTTTCCAAATTTATGCCAAGGGCCTTTCCCCAAAATAGCTGTAAAAGGCTCTATGTGTCCATCATGTTATATAACGACAGAGAACAAGTGTTTGAAGTTTCAATCAATTCCCTTCAGTAGCTTTGGAGATCAAAAATTTAACTAAAATGTGAAGCAACACCATTGCCAATGTGGGGGTCAGTACAATAACTCTCTCTATTCTTGGAATAGCCCAGCTAAAAACAAATCCAAAGTATAACTTACCTCATTTATAACAAAGAGTTTGTCTTTTCTGTCCATTTTGGATTCTGAAAAAAAATATGTTGAAAGACTTTGTCATTCATAATCAGCGTGAAAATACAAAGTTATTTGAACACTATAACTTGAACATATTCTGTTTGTCATTTCCGACAGTAATATTAACCTGAATAAAGTAAATAAATCATCATTATACGAGTCAGTTATTTTTCTCACTTAATTGGGAAGAGGCCTTAGCCTCTCAATTATAGGAAAATATCGCTAAAATTGCTGATTTGGGAAGTAAAAAGCAGGTTTAAGTTCAGATATTTGGGAAAACTGCATGATTTTAAAGAAAATTTCAATTGGGAAGAGGCCTTTTATTAGAGTTAATTATATAAATGTAAGCAGGAAAATCACTAACACTTCTCAACTAAATCTATTCTTACACGTAATCAATATCAAAATTAAGTATGAAAGCTAGACAAACCTGCTTTGGAATGAGGCATCATTGTTCTTAGGTCAATCATAAGATGTCTCGCTCGATGTGAGATTCCACGGGATGAGAAGATTAGAACACGCTGTTTGTTTGTCCATTTTGTCTGAAAAAAGAAGGTATCATTCACAAAAATTTGTCTTAGAGATAGAAAAAAGTTATTGTTAAAAATGGCACTGATGATAATTTTTTCATTAAAAAAAAATGACCGATAGTGCAATAAAGTTCTTTTTCTTAAAAAAAAGACACTACTTTTGTAATTTTAGGATAATCTTCCTTGGACCCCAGTGATATGGCATCATATTATGATAAAGAAGTGGTACTGGCCGTGTTCTAATAGCGACCTCGAAAAGCAAGCTTTATGGTAACGAGAGTACCTGCTAGACAGTGATGGTTTTGAAAACTTTCTCCGGAAGTACTTCAAAATTATGGGTAACAGACCAATCGCAACTTTTAAGCTTACAAGAATTAGATAATGAAAAAATAAGAGGAATTCTGATTGAAAACGGATGCATAGGATGGTCTCCTATGCAATTCTATGGGAACCATAATAGGACAGGGTGCCAGAATCATTTAGCTTAATATAAATGGAGAAGAAACTGTGACATCACACAGTTTTATTCAGTAGACTCAGAAACATGTTATCATATATCTCGGGATTTTCAAAGACTTATAAATGCATCCTGGGTAAAAGTGGCTAAATTACCGCCATATTGAATTCCCGGGGGTACATCAACAAAAAATAGGAAGCATTTTTCTACTTATATAAGAAGCAATAGTTACTTTATAATATTGTAAATCGTACAATACACATTTTCTACACAAATATTTCTCAGATGAAAATCCCTGTCGGCAATGTAAACCATTAATTCATGGATATAGCTGAAGTTTAACAAATGTGAAATTGAAGACTAGTGGCAAAACCTGATAATCACCAAAGCGCGCAAAGATTGTGAGTCAGAATCTGACTAATGTCTATTTTCAGAGCTTCCTATCCGTTATATGTGTATATCTGTGCCAGAATAAACAAAAGCAGTGCATTAAATATCCCATGGCACTTTTAAAATGGAAAATGTATAATAAAAATGAACGATTTATTTTAACCAACTTTCCCGTTCATAGGCTTTGCCTAATTACATTATTATTATTTGAACTATAATCTGGTTCCCTGTCCTATTATGGTTCCCATCTTTGTTCTCTGTTGGGTGGATTCAATTTAGATATCATATAAAACATGAAATTGCCGTATATAGTGTGTGGTTGTGTTGAGTGAAATTGAATGTGCGGCCGAACTGTGCTGTTCTATTTCTATGTGTATTGAAAACATAAAATTTATAGCCGCCGATGGGTTTAACTTAATTAAGTTATATATAATGTATTTTAACTTATGTCAAAGAGCTGGCTTTGAGGCTTTGCCTTATTCATATTTTTTTGTAATGAGGCATCATCGAAATAGAACCAGTTTCCTTATACTTCCTAATGAAGGGTAGTCAGACTATTCTCTCCCTTACCAGTTCCTCCCCTGACGTTTCCTCCCTGACGGTTCTCTCCCTATTTTGGGGGAGAAACGTCTGCATATTTGCAAATAAGCAGACAGTTCCTCCCCATCTTTATTTTTTTTATTAATACATTATTATTGAAGCATTTAGATGTTTTAATAAATGGATAAGTTTATTATTAAATTATAATATTAATTGATATAAATTAGAGAAAAAAATATTTTATTGAAGTATTTAGATGTTTAATACATGGGCATGTTTATGATTAATTGATATAAATTAGATAAAAAAAATATTTTTAGCATATTAGTTATTTATTTAGATTATTTTATTAGATCTAACGTATACTTTTTAATGTGTTTAATTTATTATTGGGCGAGGTTTTTTTGTTTGTCTTTTAATAAATAAGAAAACAAATTATAAGAAAAAAAAAGATTTATAAATTTTAATTGCTAAATTTCATACTTTTGTAAAATGAAGAAAGGAGTTCAATACACATGTGCGTTAAAATTGCTGTCAGAGATAATTAAGGTGTTTATTAATTCAGTGATTTTTTTAAAAACTTTTTTTCGCAACAACCCATACCCCTGAAATTATGAATTTTTAGCGCAATAATCTGCCAAATTGTGAAAAAATAAACAAGAATAAATCATCACCTGTAGTCACTTTATTCATACATTTTAATAATTATATTCATAGTTTCAGCTTTCTTCTTTTTATTCCCTCAAATATATCAATCAAATTCTCAAGATTGTCATTTGTAAGTTCATTATTTTGTTTGGTACTGAAAAGCAATCCTGCCAATTGTGAATTTTTTACACATTTTTGTGAATTTTTTATGTGTTTTTGGCATTGTGAAGAGGTCTTATTTCTGGGTCAAAATCTACCAAAAAAAATCACTGTAATAATTCATTATTCAAGAATCAAGGACTTAGGTGTAGCCTAATGATTAAAATAACTGTGAAAAGGTGTTGATAAACAAATATTTTTATTAGTTATTTGGTAATATATATTGTTACATGTTAATGACTACATGTTCTTAAATCAATTTTGTATAAAAGTAAATGTGAAATGTGATTGCATACCAGTTGTTGCTTATTTATTTCCTATAATATACTTGTTACCACCTTATTCGCTATTTAACAAATGAATGAATATCACGAGACCTTCACATAATTACAGGTGTATGTATATCAATCACTGTCCTCTCACAATGAAGGTGTTAATAGGATTAAAATATCTGAAAAAGGTGTTAAATTTACAAACACTTTTCAGAATCAAATAAACATAAAATGCACTTTACTTATCAAATACATTCTTTTAATAATCTTCAAGAAATGTTATTAAATTAAGTCAAAACTAAAATGATTATAGCAAACAAATAAAAATTGGGAGAGAACTGTCTGCATATTTCAAATTTGGGAGAGAACCGTCAGGGGAGGAAATGGTTTGAAAGAGAACCGTCAGGGAGAGGAACTGGTAAGGGAGAGAATAGTCTGTCATTCCTAATGAAGTATAATTAAGAGGGTGACACGATAGCTCAGTTGGTTAGACCACTGATTATCATTCCTGAGGTTCCGGGTTCTATACTGGGATTTTTCAGAGACACTTTCAGTGTTTCCAACCTACCTAGGTGTACTGGTAAGAAATCCAGGTAACCTTCGCATGTATCAGTGCTATTCACTGGGCATGTAATAGATCCAATGGGTCTATACAATAAGAGCTAGGGACTGGTTCCCAAATTCCCTTGTACCTTATAGCTGTCTCTTTAATGTATACAATGTATACTTGCATAGAGTAATCGTTAACGATTTTACAGCAGTATGGTGTAGATGTAATGTCATGTGTTTCCGCGATGCTACAAATAAATGCAATTTTCGCTTTTATTTGATCAATGACATTTACCTGCTTTATTGGAGGTTCGTCGGAACTAATAACTGGCTCTAAAATGACTTCATTATTTTCTCCCTTTACCGCTGATTTGTCTAAATTAGAAGAAATGTTCTTATGTTTCCTTTTCCCCATGTTTTCAATGATTTACTGCGGCACTAATGTTTTGGTTCGTGCCACTATTTTTTATACTAATCTTTCACTTTTTGGGTAAACTGCCTGATTTATAACATATAACTTATTTGCCGCAGAAAACATTTATTATCATTTAGATTTTATTTTTAGTTTAATAAGAAATAAAAAAGAACGCCTGCTTCTAATCTCGAATAAATTTTAAAAATATTCTTGTCGTCATGAGTCTAGTCGTGGTCAACTCATCACATTTTTGGGGTCAACTCGTCCCCTTCTTTTGGTCAACTCGTCATGGACAAATCAACTCTGCCCCTTTTTGGACAACTCGTCGCTATTTGGTTGTCATGTTTTGTGTTTGGGCACGGTTCTTAATTACATAATATAAATCTGTGGTTTGGGGTATTGCAAACAGACATTTTTAAAAACTGTCTTATGTCTTCAACAATGGCTATTTTGAATTTTCTGTAACCAGTAGCGTAGCCGGGCATACGCCAGTACGCCGTAGGCGTACTAAACGAAAATGAATTTTAAAAAATCAAAAAGTCTTAAATGTTGAAAACAGTAGTCCAAATCAGTACCCTAACCCGTGTTAGGCATCGCCGTGAGTTTTTGGATTTGCTGACAAAAAATATTTTTTTTTTTAAGCGATTTAAATAGTGTATCGACTATCGGTATGTTTTGTTGCAAGTGTAGAACAGCTAACTAGTACCTAGGTAGATCTAGTACTATTTTAGGTAAGACAGTGTCATGCGTATTGACTTGTTTGTATCTTATCGTAGAATCCTATTATATTCCGAATGTTGTTTACATAAGAAGTTATACTAGCGGGAAAAATCAAATGGCGTCCCAACGTAAAACGTCCGAAGAACATGAGCCTCCTAATGTTGATATTTTCAACTGCATCATTTTAAACGATGAGCTGAAAGTCACTTTATTAAAGTCAGATAGGCCCAATGTCCATAAATATGCATTTAAATCGAGGTAAGTTTATGCGGATCAAGAAATTTAAAGTAGGTAAAATAATGCAATTTATCATTAAATCATATTCAAATGTATTTTTTTTTCTATCAAATTACATCAAATATTATTCTATTTTATTTTTAACTAGATCTATAATAAAACTGAAATAAAAAGTCATTTTTAAACGGTGTCTACTGTCTAGGGCGTACGGACGAAGCTACCTTTACCAGGGAAGTGAGAAAGCGGGTTACATGGTGGACAGATGGACCACTTGCGTTGGACCGTCCACAAGCTCCTGATACACTTCTAGGAACATTACCACTGGCTAATGAGCAGCACTATCCCAATGTCCGTCGTTGTTTGTTAGTACTGCTCATTATGCCAGTGTCTACGGCTACAGCTGAACGATCATTCAGCACCATGAAGAGATCTACCATGACTACAGAACGGCTGTCTGGGCTTGGCCTAATGAATATTTACAGAGACATGAAAATTTATTTTGAGTACATAGTTGACAAATTTGCTGCAAGAAAACAACGCCGCCTTGCATTTGTCTTCAGAGAATAACCATTTCTGCATAGATAGCACATACCCGTGCCGATTTTGCGACTCCGTAAAAATGGTATTGCACTGGCATAATTATATTTTGACAAGACATCATTTGCGTTACATAAACATAACGATAAGACGCGCTAAATGTTAGTGTTATACTATAGGCGCTTCAATGAAAAATGTTTCTTTATCACTTCAAACGGTCTTTGTTTTTGGTGTGTGATGTAATAGTTATAGTATATGAAACGAGTTAGTTACGAGGGTATAACACTGGCTGGGCGACATCAAGGGGTGTTTCTGCTAAAAAATGGCGAGGCCGCTAGGCCGAGACAATTTTTTTTGCAGAAACATCCCGAGATGCAATCGGAACACCTCGGGCGACATCAAGAATTCGCTTGACGGAGATTGCCGAGTTGTTACGATTGCCCGAGATGTCGCCCCAGCCAGTGTTATACCCCCGTAACTAACGAGTTTCATATACTATAACTGTTTTATCGCAATGGCATAATGTTTTCCTTTTTTTGTATAGAAACAAATAAATAAATTAATCGTTAGCTACATTACAGTATTTATGATAAGGCAGTTTTTCAAGTTGTTTTCGCTGCCGCAAAAAAAAAATATACAAAAGACATCCGATATAAGAGGCGGATTGTATACTGCTACAAAAAATGATTTAAGATTAAAGGGCTTTTTTTCAGTGGAAATAATTCATTCAGTGGATGTACCTTTTGATTAAATGAGAGTACATTTCATTTCATTAATTATCTTTGTTTATATTTATCATTGTATTTATATATTTATTTTATTTTATTTTATTGATTTCATTTTTTTTTTGCTACTGGGAATGGTCGTTACCACTGCCCCATTGGAGCCTCTATGAAAAAACTGTGTTGATATATAACAGGTGCGAAAAAAACTCAACCGATATATAACAGTCGAGTTTTTTTTCCTATATGAATCAATGAAAAAACTGTACTGTTATATATCAGTACAGTTTTGAAATGCCCATTGAAGTGTACTGAGTATAATGGGTTATAAGAACAAAGGAAAAGTTCCAAACCATGCGATAAAAATAGAATATTAAATGCGTGTAAGTTTATTGCTTAATTTATTGAACGTGTTGAATAAAATAATATTATGCTAGCCAGAGGCTCACATAATATCATTTTATTCAACTCGTTAAATAAATTCAGTATTAAACTTACAATATCCTCTATTTATTAGATAAGAAAGGAATTAAATATGTTGTCAAATGTCTCCAGATTGCGTTATTTTGCATCTATAAATCCAAATTTTCTCGGGGGAAATCCCCAGAACCCCCTTCCATTTACAAAGGGAGGGGGACACCCCCTCCCTTAACCCGCCAGAGGCTCACATAATATATGATTTTATTCAACTTATTAAATAAATTTAGTATTAAACTTACACTCTTTCAATATCCTGTATTTATTAGATAAGAAGGGAATTAAATATGTTGTCAAATGTCTCCAGATTGCGTTATTTTGCATATATAAATCCAAATTTTCTCGGGGGAAATCCCCAGAACCCCCTTCCATTTACAAAGGGAGGGGGACACCCCCTCCCTTAACCCGCCAGAGGCTCACATAATATATGATTTTATTCAACTTATTAAATAAATTTAGTATTAAACTTACACTCTTTCAATATCCTGTATTTATTAGATAAGAAGGGAATTAAATATGTTGTCAAATGTCTCCAGATTGCGTTATTTTGCATCTATAAATCCAAATTTTCTCGGGG